GGTGAAGTGCCTGTTCATATCCTGTGCCCATTTTTCTATTGGATTATTTACCTTTATCAATTTTTCAGTATGGATTATATCTCACCATCAAGAAAGCAAAAATCCTCACAACTGGACACATATACACACAAATCCTCACCACTGAGGAAACATGATAAATGAAGAAAAGACTAAAATTATAAATTGTTTCATTTTACGTAAGTCTACAGCAGCATTGGGTAGATCTGTCAAGAGCCTCTTTTAAGTACTACTAAAGAGCAAGGTTGTCAGTATAACAACTAAGGTGTTCCTGATCTAAGCCATGGCCTTTTCAATTGCTTCACATGCATGTAAAAGTTGAAGACCCAAGAATTGATGCCTTTGAATTATGGTGCTGATTAATATTATTGAATATACCATGGACTGCCAAAAGAATAAGCAATCTCTGCTTTGAAAGACATGCAGCTAAGGGTACTCTTCTAAGGCAAAGATGGTGATATCTCAGCTAATATACTTTGGGCATGTTATCATGAGGGATTGGTGCTTGGAAAGGGACATCATATTTGGAAAGGTAGAAGGTCAGCAACAGAGAGAAGACCCTCCACAGTGGAAGTGGCACAGTGACTCTAACAATGTGCTTAAGATTAGGACCAGAATGAGGACCAATAAATTTCAATCTGTTGTACATAGGTCACTGAGTCAGTGGACTGGAGGGCACCTAAGAACAATATAAAGAATTTCGATGTAAAGAGTTGGGATATGGTGGTGGACTTGTCAGGATTCCTTCCCTTCCTATAATACAATCTTATAAATGTAGTCTCATTTTAAAAGTCTGTAGTCTTTTATGGAAAACAATAATCATGAATATTTTTTTAGCACAAGTGGAAATTATTTACTGCAACAATAAAACAGAGGGCTAGTTAGTGAAAGGGAGGCTGTGCTACAGTTAAAAAGAAAGAAAAGGGTTAAAGAGGAAAGGACCCCTGGAGAGATGAGTGAAGGCAAACCTTACAGTATAGCATTAGCTGAGGACAGAAAGCTCATGAAATCATTTTTGCAAATGTATTTGAGACCATAATTTTCCTGAAGGCCTTCCTGAAACCAAAACTGTTGCTGTAAACTTTATTCTGACTCACGACAATTTTATTTGTATCAGAGTAAACCATAGTTTTCAATGGCAGAGTTTCTTGTCAGTGATGGCCAGGACTTTTTTAAAAAATTATTAATTTTAATGAAAATTTACAGTGACTTTGGATTTCCATTCATTGATTGTTACATTTTTCTCCCTGCCCACCCCTCCCCCCTCTCTTTGAAAAGTAAAAAAAAAAAAATCTTTCATTGTTTTACAATTCCTCCCCCGCAGGTCCACTCCACTATGCAGCCTTCGCTCTGGACTTCTCTCATGAAAATAATACCTAATCACATATCCCTTGTAAACAGATGGCCAGGTCTTTTGTCTGAGGTGCTTCAGGATGGACTCTGTAGGGAGTTGTTCTGTTAACTCAAAGTGCCTCTCTGACAGTTCAAACCTTTCTGTGCCTCTGCAGATGAGCTAGCTTCTCCCATCAGATTTATAGCTGTAGGGTTAGCTTTAAGTTTGTTCTAACTAGATAGCAAAGAGTAAGTTTTAGTTGCCAGCCAACAGGATTAACCATTTAATTTCCCAGGAACTCCAGAGGCCTTCTAAGGAAATGTCCCTGGGAAGTGCAAATGGTTAATACTGTTGGTTGCTATCTCTTTAGAGGCAAGGATGGTGCGGCTTCATCTCACATACTTTGGGCATGTTGCTGGAAGAACTATTCCTTGGCAAGGGATATCATCCTAGGAAAGTTAGGTCACCTTTAATGAGATGGATTGACAGTGACTGCAGCAACTGGCTCAAATACGTCAGCAATGACAGGATAGGATAGGGTCCAGATGTGTTGTTCATCATTCATAGACTTGCTATGAGTTGTATTTGACTCAAAGGCACTTAACAACTGTTGTTACATTTCTTGTTTGGATTCTAGAAGAGAGAGCTTTTCCTGCCTGGTATTGAATCTGGTTTATGACCTCTGGACTTGATTTCAGTTTCCAACCCTGAAACCTAATCTGACCTTGGCTTTGTTAGCCTCCAAAGCATCCCTGGGCTCTGCTGACTGACAGTCTGGACTCATTACTCTCTCCAGATGCTTCTGAGGTCTGACCCACAGATCTCTTGGCAGTCTTACCAGTCTCTATAGGATAGTAAGCTGTTAAGTCGGTTCTAACTTGACAACCACATATACATGTAAACCATTTCCTTGAAATAGATCTCTACACTTTATTGGTTTTGCTCTGCTAGAGAATTCAGACTAAGACATCCTTCTAATCCATTCTCTTTACTAGGCCAAGGTTATATTTCAAAACACAAATGTTTTCTCTGTTAAAAATTCTTTCATGGCTTCTCATTGTATTTAGGATTTAAAACAAAAATGGGATAAAAACCCAAAATCACCAGTTGCCTAATTCCAGTATTACTCCATGCCATCTGCCTACTCAGTTTGCAGCTTGTTACACAAGCCTTCTTTTGGCTCCCCAGTAGCTCCTTCCAGTTTTAAAGTTTACCCCACCGGTTCAGTTTACCTGAAACAATCTTTTCTCACTCTCATCTCTTTTAATTAATCCCTAGTCATCCTTCAGATCTCAGCCGATTAAATCAATAGGCTTCTTGCACTATAGCTCTTTATGTTTTTAATTATTATTAAATTTTATTAGTTTTGATGAACATTTACAGAGATTTGGGGTTTTTATTCATTTATTGTTGCATATTACATGTTTTCTAATAGTAATTAAACTAATTATGCAGTTACTTAAAGCATGTCTCATCAGACTGTAAGGATTCTGAGTCTTGGTATATCCCCAGGGTCTTGCCTTTTGTCTTAACTATATTTGCTAAATGAGAAGCAATGGTTCATCTGGGAGTTTTGTGTGACTGGAGCTTAGACATATGAGCCAACATCTTTTCTAAAGCCTGATTATCAGTGGCCTTCAGTGGGGTTACAAGGTGAGTAAAACGGGGCCCTAAATATAAAGTAACAAGTTTTAAGCCCAGCTCCACCTCCTTCACATAACTTATCACACAGACTGCAATGTCTGCCGGGGGGGGGGCCTTCTTCAGCTTTTATGATTTTGCAAGCTGGTGGTACTCACAAACTTACCAGTAATTTTGGGTTCCTAACATTCCTAGCCTTAGTCACTGGCCAGGACTCTCCACAGATTTTGGGTTGATTCCAACTCACAATGACCCCACAGTACAGAGGAGAACTGCCCCATAGGTTTTCCAAAGCTGTATAAACTTTACTCAAGTAGACTGCTTCATTGTGCTCTTGCAGAGCAATCGGGGAATTATAACCTACACACTTTTAGTTAGGAGTCAAGCATTAAATCACTGTGCCACAAGGGCTTCTTAGCAGAGAAGAAGGATGAGAACCCAATGCCCTGGCCCAGCACTGCCATGAAACCACAGGACACTCAATGCCTTGTTCTCAGTCTTTTGAGGGGATCTATTTTTTACATTCTCAGTTAAGACAATGCAAGGGTAGCATGCTGTGCTTAGAGTTACCATTAGATGGTGCCCTTCCTCTAATGTATCAAGTAAGAGATGGCAGAAAGGTTGCCTAGTCAGTTAGTCCACAAACAAGAAAGGAAAGGAACAACTTCAAAGCAGGTCATTCCCAGCAACTCTGCATGCAGCAATCCCAAGGCAAACAATTTCCTTCTTAGCCTGACCAGCCAAATAAGACAAGCAAGTAGTATGGATCCTCCAACAGCTTTAATAATTTCCTTTCTGGGAATGTTGGGACCTTATAGCCAGAGAGCTGGCAGGATTCCAGGAAGCTGTGGCCTCAGTATGGGTCATTAAAAGGGTACAGAGGGTGCCCAGCATCTCTCGGGACTCGCTTCCCATCCACCTGGAAAGAGATATAAACAGATGATGCCATTAGCAGGTGCAGACATTCCAAAGGCATAGAAAACCTTCACCAAAACTTCCTGAACAACCTTGCCTATGCCATATGGTAGCTATTGGGGGTTCTGGCCTCAGAGAATGTCAGAGTACTGAAAGCATTCTGGCACCAAATCCACAGTATATAGCTAAGAGTGTGAAGTAGGATTGTTAGAGAAAGAATTTTTCCCCCTGTGACAAAAAGCTTTAACCCTACCAGACCCTAATAAGGTCAAGAATATCTTCAAGGTTCCCTTCACTGATGTCATTTACTTACCATGTGTCCAGAACTGGGTTAATATTATAGATAGGAGGCTAAGGCTTAGAGAAGTTAAATAATTTGTTCTAAGTTATATCTCAACATAAACAAAATAAAATTTCTCAGAACTGAACCAATATTCTGCTTATCAATAAGCAAAATCATAATAACCAGAGAAAACACTGATGTCGTCAAGGATTTCATTTCATTTGGATCCACAATCCAGCCCTATGGAAGCAGCAGTCAGGAAACCAAACAATGTATTATATTGGGTAAATCTGCTACAATAGATCACGTTTTAAAGCGTTAAAACAGAAAGCTATCCCTTTGAAGGCTGAGGTGAAACTGACACAAGTCATAGTTCTTTCAATTACCTCAGGCATGTGAAACGTGGGTAATGTGTAAGGAAGACTGAAGAAGAATTGATATCTTTGAATTACAGTGTTGGGGAAGAATACTGACAAAAGAGAAAACAAATCTGATTTATAAGAAATACAGTCAGAATGCAACTCCTTTCTAACAGTGAGGACACTGAGATTTTGTCTTACTTATTCTGAATATGTTATCAGGAGGGACCAGTTACTGAAGAAGGATATCATTCTTGGTAAAGCAGTCTATTAGTGAAAAAGAAGAAGATCCTCAACAAGATGGAATGATGTGGTGGCTGCAACAATGGGCTCAAATACAGCAGTGGCTATCATGTTAGCAAAGGACCAAGCAGCATTTCATGCTGCTGTATATAGGTCACTGAGCCATGAAGTTGACACACAGCGCCTAACAACCGTTAAAAAATATCAAGAGGCAGGATGGGAGTCATAAACTGTCTTTTTTATCTCTTAGCCATACTACTTCCATGAATCAATAAAGGGAAAGAGATCATTGTGTAGTGTGTCTTAGATAAGAAAGCTCCCACTATCATGGTTGTTGTCATATGCTAAGTCATAGCTGACCCTTCAGCAGGTTTTTAGAAGCAGTAAATCATGTGGGCGGACACTGCCCATCTTCCTCCTGTGGAGCAGCTGGTCGATTAGAATGGTGTCTTCCTAATAGAGCTGAGGCAAAATCTCACCCTACTCTCACATTCCCTAACTCTGGGAGTTGATAAATCCTCACCACAAGCATGGGCACGATGTATCGACAATTTTTGTTCAGAGCATCTAACTGCTTCATCTCTTCTGGGGTGAAGCTGAAGTCAAATACCTGGAAAAGAAGCAATGAGTGTCACAAAAACCAGATTTTTAAGTAGAAGCTGGAGTTTTGAACAACTGCCTTCATAGCCAGGCAGATTTGGGGCCAGACTAGATCCCAAAGGACTAAAGAATATAGGCCCATCACCCAAGTACCTGAATGTTCTGAAGGATTCGGGAAGGAGTGATACTCTTAGGAATGCAGATCACTTTCCGCTGGACCTGCCACCTGAGGGGGATTCAGATGTATGAAGTTAGTGTTCCTTAGCTCTGTTTCTTTTATTCTCCAGCAGCCTTCCCTAGGTTCCTGAGTAAGCGCAAATCCCCCTGGAAAAGGAATATGCCTCACAGAACTAGTTGTCACTATGAAAGCTTCTGAAGAACTCTTCAACCTGTGCCTCCCAAATCCAGGAGCCTTTACCCCCCTTCTCCCCAAGACTGCACGCACCTGATCAAGACCTGAGCTGGAGATCGGTTGTATTTTTTAGCCAGTTCCTGGACCACTGGCTCTTCCAGCAAGACCGGTTCATTAGGGTCTCGCCAAGAACGATCAGGGGAGCCCAGAGGGCTATAAGCAGTCACTTCCAGACCACAGGCATGGCAGTGAGCAATCAGCTCTTTCTGAGCGAGGTATGGGTGGCATTCCACCTGAGACAGAAAACAATTCAAGAACAGTGGTCACATCCAGCTTGTCTGGTTCCACCCAGAAATGATGTTCTGATCAAAACTTTCACTGCTGACGCTTCCCTCTTCAGAGAGCTTTTCTCACTGTTTTCCCTTGAATATTTCATTCTCTCTTGGGGCTTCAATACCCAGTTTTATCCTTCAATACCCAGTTTTTTGCATTCTAACACTGACAACTCATTAGCTGTTTTCTAAGGCGGTCCATCACCTGCTAACTCATGCTATTATGCACACACCCCAAACAGCTGGTCTGCTTGGCATGCTCACCTGCAGGACAGCAGGGCGCACAGAGGCCACGCTGAGCACATCATCAATCTGTCGCCTGTTGAAGTTGGACAGGCCCAGTGCCCGCACCAGTCCCTTGGCCACCATCTTCTCCAGAGCCTTCCAGGTCTCCTTGTAGTGGGTGGAGTCATAGTGAATAGTGCCATCAGCATTCTTAGGGAAGGGGTTGTCTCCTTGCCTGAGTGAGGGACAGCATTCTGAGTGTGAGCGTAAAGGTCAAGTTTCTTCCCTGACTGCCCTTCCAGCAAATCTATGTTCCATACCTCAACTCCAAAGAAGCCAAAGGGCCAAGATTGAGAAAGTGTCATACTTTTTCACCTTTCCAGATCATGACCCATGGTTAATTCTACATGAAACATCCATGTCCTTTCTTTGATTCCTAGACCCAGATTCTATCTCCTCTCCACTGGGAAGTCTCCCTTAACACCTCCTCCTCAGGAGTGCCATGCTCTTCCAGTCTTTTTCCAGCACAGGACAGAGTACTGATGGCACGCTCCTCTCATACACACTGCTGGGGTTTGGTCATTATTATAACCCAGAACCCAGCAGAAGAGGCAGTATGTATGTCTGAAGTTAATAGAAGGTACAGAAGGACCACTTAGGTTCATATAGGATACACAACACATAAAGATCTATTACTTTTTTCCTGTAGCTGAAATCCTGGCTATTCTAGAAGAAAAGGTTCAAAGATCCCATGGAAAACACCTTAGATTGACTGCCAGCACACAGAGTAAATATTCCTAGCCTACTCTGTCACTGTGATTTACAAGAAGTTACTAACACTACCAGCAAGATCCCCGTTTCCTTAGATAAAGACCCTGGCAATGGCTCACTCAAAGGCATAAGGCCAGTGTATCAGGTACAGATCCAAATACTCCAGCTGGAGGTCAGCCAGCGTCTTCCGAAGGGCAGGCTCCACATCCTCAGGGTGGTGTTTGGTGTTCCACAGCTTGGATGTCACAAACAGCTCCTCACGTGGCACTGCCTGATACAGAGGGCAAGGCCCATGGTGAGAAAGGCCATGGACACATCGTTTCAATCAATCTCACCTCTGAGGGAGGAGTTAGAAGGAAGCCAGTTCTAGATTCCCTCTCCTCAGAACTAGCCCCACAGCCTCTGAGCTCTCCCATGTCACCCTTTTCTGTAGCCCAAGTTCTCACCTTGCCTGGTCCCACGTTCTCCTTCAGGGCCTCTCCGATCTCAGTCTCATTGCCATAGATAGCAGCACAGTCAATGTGACGGTAGCCAACACTCAGGGCATATTTAATGGCTGCTTTCACCTGTCAGATAAAAGGAACAAAGGTTTCAGCTCTGTTGGTCCAAGCCAGAAACTGCCCTCCCCACAATACTCCAAAGACAAGCAGGAATTTACCAGGGTTATCCATGCAATACAGGTGAAAAGATGGATGATGGCTCTAGTGTAGAGTACCAACAGCCTCTTCAGAGGACCCAAACCCTCTGTCTTTACTCCCATCCCACTAGCCGTGAAAGCCTCTTCCTAGTCAAATCATCTATACAGAGCCCAGCAAAACACCTAAGAATGTGTTCCCAGGATCTAATAATGACATAAAGGATTTAGCAGACATTATTTAAAATCAAATGAAAGATAAATAAAAGTATAGGTAATGAAGAATAATAATAATAATAAAACAAAAAAAAATACAGATAATGGAGAAAGGTCATCAGCCCTGAGGAACTGACTAGAGAAAACAAGACACAATCTTAGGCTAAAGCCACACAGAGAAAAGCCCTCAAGCAGTCAAGGAGTCAGAGTGAGTTGTAACAGCTCGTTGTCAGCAAAAAAGATGCAATGGAACATTAAAGAAGGTGGAGAAGATGAGCTCAGTGTCCAAATGGAACGAAAATAGCAGGTACCAGGTAGAATGAGTGATTCAATTTGCTAAAAACCAGACTAGACATGTGGCACCAGAAGCAAGACCCAACATGTCAGGCTGTTGCCATGAAGCTCTTAAACCTCTTGCTGTGGATGCCTGATTTGACATTCATGACTCTTATCTACGGGCAACTCTTTCTTATCCAGTTGAACTCCCCATACTCCTCATCCTAATCCTGTTGTACTGTAATTTCAACCTTGGTCTTAGTTCTATGTCCAGGACCTAACCCATACCCTGTCTTGTCCCTAAGTTGTAGTAATTTCTTGTTTAGAGCAACAGGACATTGACTCCAGGATCCTAAGTAACTGTAGAAAGAAAAGATATATAGATAGAGATATGGATATATATAATCACACCATAAACACCAGCCAAAGTCCCAGGCAGAAGAGGTTGTTCTGTTTTCCCTGCTAGAGTCTCTCCCAAACTAAATCCCCACATGTGTCTTATGTCTGACTCAGATTTCCAAGAAAACCAGAAAAAATCTTGAGGAGATGGCCTATCCCTGCTGGAAATGGAACCTGTAGTCAACATTATGAAAGCAGGTCTCCATTCCCAGGCTCCCCTGGACTGTGAGGGTCTGTACTAAGAGGAGATAAATGATAGTGCTTGCATTTTTTCTTTTTTAAAGCCTTTGAACTAAGAATGCTTTTTAAGCGTTTAAATGGTTACTTATTAAATGATTGTATAAGTGCCTACATAATGGGCACTTTTTGCCTCTTGTCTAGTAAAGCCCAAAATATTAACTATCCAGCCCTCTCAGAAAGTTTGGTGACCTTTGGACTATACAGCTGACCCAGTTATTCTTGAAACCCTGACAATGGTGTGGCGTTAACAGTAGGGAGGGACTGTAACAATGAATGAATGAAAATCCAAAGTCTCTGTAAATTTTCATTGAAATTAATAATACATTAAAAAAACACACAGAAAAACAAACCAAAAAACCAAAACCAAAACAAAAACCATACAAAAAAAAACCCCAAAACAGAACAGTAGGGAAAGGCCCAGTTCTCAAGAATCTGAATGCAGAAGAGAAGACATGATCATTGCACTGGATGAGAGAGTAAAGGGGCCTTCAGGAGCACCATGAATGAAAAGTGAAATAGGGACATGAACTCCCCTAACACCATCAATAAATGACCCCACATTTGCCCTGACACATAGTACAGATCTAATCAGGAAGAGATATGCTATCCTTCCAAGGTCTTTGGCCTTGTAGGGTTCCTCAGCCCCTCCTCTATGTTAGCTAAAAAGAGAAAGACAGATGGCAGAGCCAAGGGCTCACTGTTGGTGCCTTCTCTTGCCTCTTCTCATTGCCCTCTGGGCTCATCCCTACATGAAGTATAAGCTGAAGAGGCTGACAGGAGAAAATGCTGAGTTCTCTCAAATTCTGACATAGGCGCAAGAAGTTCCCCTTCCCCTTACCTGGCCAGGCTCACTCTGCCAGGTGCCCAGTCCAATTAGGGGCATCTTCTGCCCAGTATGCAAGAGGACACAGGAAGCAGCCATTGCCTTCTGAAACAAAAACGGGAAGAGTGTGAGAGTCAAAGCTGCAGCATCCATTTGTCAAAACCTTTGCAAAACATTGGTCAGATATGGATGGGGAAAGCGGGAGCAGAGGTGGTGAGGGAACAAGCATATGTATGTTCTTAGAGGCAGAAGCAACTGAGACAGGGTGCCAGAACAAACCAAAGTCAGCAGTTCCTGGATAAACACTAACTAGACAACCAGTCTGGCTTTTCTGCCCTTCCTTCTACCAAGGCAGACTTCCACCACTTAAAAGCAAAGATGGTATATTACAATTAGAAGTATCCAGACCTGACTAAATAAGGACCCAAGCCAGTGTAAGCAGGCAAAGACCATTATGAGATGAGGCAAGACCAGGAGACAAAACAGATCCAGGAAGGGGCCACTTCTCTTGAGTATGAAATGAACGTTCTGAGGAGTCTGACAGCACTACAGAGAAGACTCTCTGAGACCCTTTCATAGAAGTCTGATTGAGTATGTTAATAAGCCTAAGCGGGCTCATTCTAAAGAGCCATTTTTCAGATAAGATAATGGAAGCTCAAAGAATGAAAGTTCTTGTTGTTATGTGCCATTGAGTCCCCTGCGACTCATAAAGATACTAAGTAACAGCCCTAAATCCTGCTCTATCCTGTGCCAATCTTAATGTCTCTGACACACCTACCCCTATTACCCCAGTCACTGAATTAATTTATCTCATCGAGGGTCTTCCTCTCTTGCGCTGTCCCTTCACCCTCAAAGGCATGATGTCCCTCTCCAGGAACTGGTCTATCCTTGCAACATGTTCAAAATATGTCAGATGAAGCTTCAGAATCCTTGCCTCCAAGGAGCACCCTGGTCTCACCCTCTCTAGGTCAAACCTGTTTGTTCTCCTAGCAGTTCATGGTATACTCAATACTCTTCTCCAGCACCACAGTTCAGTTCAAAGGCATCATTTCTCCTGTCATCCCTAGTCATTGTTCAACTTTCTGATGCACAGCAAGTAATTGCAAAGACTATGGCCTGGATCAGGCTCACCTTAGTCTCCTAAGGTGCTGATATTGTTGCTTTTCAGTACTCTGGAGAGGTTTCTAACAGTAGATTTTTCCCAATGCAATTTGTCTTTTAATTTCATGGCTGTTGGTACCAAGAGTGTTGATTGTGGAGCCAAGCAAACTAAAGCTGTTAACAATCTCAATCTCTTCACCATCTATCATGATGCTGCCAATCAGCCCAGTGGTAGGAATCTTTGTTTTCTTGGTGTTAAGCTTCAAACCATATTGAATGCTGCAGTCCCTGACCTTCTGCAGCAAACGCTTCAGGTTCTCCTCAGTTTCAGCAAGTAAGGTGTGTCATCTTCATAACGCAGATTGTTGATGAGACTACCTCCAATCCTGATGTCACATTTCTCTGTATAGAAACTAACCTCCCAGATAATGTTATGCATATAGATTGAAAAGATAAAGAGATAGGACACATCCCTGGCATACATCTTTCCCCATTTTGAATCATAAAGTGTTTCCTTGCTCTGTTCTTTTTTTTTTTTTTA